TACAAGATGCTCATAAGGCATAAGATGTAAGTTCTTTGTAGTTATAGTTAGGCAAATAAACTATGATTCCGAGAATGAACCAAAATAAATTAAAAATTGTGTGTATATATATATATATATATATATATATATATATATATATTTATATATATATATATATATATATATATATATATATATATATATATATATATATATATATATATATATATCTATATATATCTATATCTCTCTCTCTCTCTCTCTCTCTCTCTATATATATATATATATATATATATATATATATATATATATATAATATATATATATATATATATATATATATATATATATATATATATATATATATATATATATATATATATATATATATATATATATATACATATACATACTCCGTATGTTGAGCACTCTACTCTAGTTGTCTGCGAAATGAAAAAAACGAACTTGAATTATTCTGTCAAGAACATTCCAATTCCACCAATTAAAGAATACAAAAAACAATTAATCAGCAAAACCGAAGCATTAATAAAAAGAATGAGGTGGAAAGCCTTTTTCTTTATTAATGATGATCAGAATAGTAAGAACAATACCTTTTATAATAATAATTATGGAATAAAAACACCAAATTACCCTAAACAAATGACTGAAATGTGTGCATTTGAAAGCGAATTAATAGAATTAATAAAAAACATAAAATTTTGTAAAGTTTATAACAAATTTCAGAAAAAAATAAAAGAAGATATATCTAATATACGCAATTGTAATCTTACCTACTTTTACAGATAAAACATCTAATTTATATAACTTATCTAAACAAGACTACAATCATTTATTAACCAATGCTGTAACTTCAACTTACAAAAAATCGAATCCAAAAGTAGAAAATAATATAAATAAAGAAGGTAAATGCATTTTACAGAATCATGACATTTTTACTAAAATCGATATCAATACATCATCTAACTGGTTTATAGCATTAAAAGACCACAAAGAAAATTTTGTAAACAATCCAACAGTTCGATTATTAAACCCTGCCAAAAATGAAATTGGCAGAATTAGTAAAGCTATTCTTTCAAACATAAATTCTGAACTTGTAAAAAGATTCCATCTCAATCAGTGGAAAAAAACACAAGATGTTATATGCTGGTTCAAATCCATCAGTGATCCAAATCCTTATAAGTTTCTCATTTTTGATACCTCTGATTTTTATCCCTCAATAAGTAAAAAACTACTTAAAAATGCTATTAGTTTTGCTGAGCAGCGTCTGGTTATAGATCCTGAGCAAAAGTCGATTATTTACCACGCCAGAAAGTCACTGTTGTTTGATAGCAATCATGTTTGGATTAAGAAGTCAAGCGTATTATTCGATATTTCGATGGGAGTTTTTGATGGCGCCGAGGTGTGTAAACTTGTGGGAATTTTTCTTTTATTTCAGATTACGCAGTTTTATAATAAGAATGATTTCGGGTTATACCGTGATGACGGTTTGGCAATTTTTAAAAAAATCAGTGGTTTATGTTTCCCTATATGGAAAAAATTAAAAAACATGTTGTTAAAATATTTAAATCGAATGATCTTCTGATATCAACACAGTGCAACATAAAAATCGTAAATTATCTGGACATTACATTAAACCTCTGCAACCACACCTACCAACCTTACTCCAAACCCGGAAACTCTTTAAACTACATTCATGCTGAATCAAACCACCCATCCAGTATTTTAAAGCAACTCCCACATTCTATTGAATTAAGAATATCAGCAAATTCGTCATGCGAGGAAATCTTTCAAAAATCCACTCCTATGTATAATGAAGCATTAAAAAAGTCCGGTTTTAATTACAATCTTTCTTACCAACCTAACTTATCATTATCTCACACCAAGAACCGTAAACGTAACATCATTTGGTTCAACCCCCTTTTAGCAAAAACATTAGCACGAATATAGGAAAAATATTTTTAACATTAATTGATTAGCACTTCCCTATAAATCACAAGTTCCACAAAATTTTTAACAGAAACACATTAAAAGTAAGTTATAGCTCTATCCCGAATATGAAATCCGTTTTAAACGCCCACAATCGCCGTGTTATAAACAACAAGAAAGAATCAGCTAAAAAAAATTCCAATTGCATAGATAAAAACACCAGCCCTTTATCAAACCAATGCTTAACAAAAAATGTAGTATATCAAGCTAATGTATGTTCCAACGATCTTGTTCAAACTACCATCAATAAATTTTACATTGGCATAAGTGAAACATCTTTTAAAATTAGATATGCTAATCACATATAATCTTTTAAAATTCCCAAATACAAAAATGACACTGAATTATCAAAGGAAGTTTGGAGATTAAAAGATGAAAACTTGAACCCGATTGTTAGGTGGAAAATAATTAAACAGTGCGATGCCTTTAATCCTGTAACAAAACGATGTAACTTATGCATAAATAAAAAGTACGAAATTTTATTTTTTAAACACCCAAATTTGTTAAATAAAAAGAGTGAAGTATTACTTAAGTGACGGCACAAAAACAAATTTCTTCTTGCCAAATTTGACACTGGCGATTAGCAGTTTTACAACTATGCTACTTTTTTATTCGTTTTGTTTTGACGCCGGAACTCATTCTACTGCTGTTTTTGTATTTTGTATTTTAAAACGGTTTTTTCTTGACATGTATAATATATATGGCTGAAGATTGCCGATAGGCATGAAACTTTTAGTTCCATTACAAAGTTGTATTTTTCTATTTAATTATACTTTTTATATATATATATATATATATATATATATATATATATATATATATATATATATATATATATATATATATATATATTGATCTATTTTGTAAAAATTATTTTAATATTATATTGATCACTCTCAAGTGAACAAGAGGATTTGTATCTCAACTAAATACAATAATAAACAACAATATATATATATATATATATATATATATATATATATATATATATATATATATATATATATATATATATATATATATATATATATATATATATATATATATATATATATATATATATATATATATATATATATATATATATATATATATATATATATATAAAGAAAAATCGCAATAGCACATTCTGGAATCACTTTCACTGAGTCAGCAAATCCCTTAAACCAATAAGATTTATTGGCTGACGCAGCGCGTTTCCAGAAATTCTTGAACTTTCTTTAAAATTCCTTTGCGCCATTCTCCTCTTCAGTATGCATTGATCCATGATTTTTATCTCCTATTGATGGCTTTTAAATTTCATTACTAATTTCGCATTCCAATAAACATACGTAAGATATAGGTTGCTTAACTTCACTATTTCCTACTTTCACTTTTACAACTCTAGTATGACCATCAGCGCCAGGATACATCTCTAAAACTCTTCCTAATGGCCATTTTCCCTGCGGTGTAGCCGGTGATATAACTAAAATGACGTCTCCTACCTGAATATCACTTCTTTCAAGAAACCATTTTTGCCTAGAGTTTAAGGTGGGAAGCCTTTCTCGTAATCTTCTTTTCCAAAAGTGACGGATAAGTTCTTCGATTCTGCGCTAACATTTTTTTATGCTAAAATTCTCAGTATCAACATTTTCCGGTGCAAATTCGCCACCTACTTGACCACGTAAGAAATGATTTGGTGTTAATGGGACATCATCGTCAGGATTGCAAGACTGGTATGTTTAAGGTCTTGAGTTAATCAATGATTCTGCACCTGTAAATTCTGTCATCAGTTCTTCATCATTAATATCTGCATTACCCAGAATACTGTATATCGCTTTCTTTGCTGACTTGATCATTGTTTCATGGACTTCTCCAAAATGTGGTCCAATTGGAGGGTTAAAATGCCATTTAACTCCTTTATTGGTTGTTGATTGTTTTAATTTTTCTATATTTAAACTAGCGACAAGCTCTTGAAGTTCTCTATTGGCTCCAACAAAGTTAGTACCATTATCCAAAATCATTTCCTTTGGAAGGCCACGCCGATTAACTATTCCATAAAACGCGTTTAAAAATGAATCTGTATCCAATCCAAATGCTATTTCCAAATGCACGGCTCGTGATGTAAGACAAGTAAACAAACACAAATAACGTTTAGTTCTTCTCATACCTCTTCCTTGAACTGTTATAAATGGACCACCAAAATCAACAGCTGTTCTTTAAAATGCATGCATTTTTAATATGATCTTTGGTAGTGGTGCCATAATCTGATTCTCTGCTTTAGCTTTTCACGTATTTATTCTCTTGCTTGTAATATCCAATACCGACTAGATAGTATTGTCAAGGTCTGATTAGTTTCACACATACATGTTTTCCCTCTTTGTGATACTTCTTCACTATAAGTTTCATTAACCAGCTTTTTTTTGGGAGAATAATAGGGAATCTGGCATCATAGGGCAAATATTTTGCATATTTTAAACGCCCAACACATCGTAATACACCATCCTCAGCTATTTTTGGTTTTAAATATAGTATTTTACTAGTCGTTGGTAACGGTTTTTTGGCTTACAGCGCTTTGTACTCTTCTTGGCAATTCTCTTTTTGAGCAAATTTTATTAATTTATTTTCTGCATCAGTGACCTCTTCTGGCAATAGTTCTCCTGCGAATCTGCTTGCTTTTGATGACGTACAATTAATGATAAAACAACGTACCCATGTTAGCACTCTTGTAAGTCGAATCCAACTTAAAAATCTCTGAGGTTGCAGTCTCCAGATGTTATCTTTTACAAGCACTAACAAGGTCAAATTTGCTTTAGACTTTTTTACTTCTACATCATTGTTATCAAGTTTTGATAGTTTTCTTTCCGGCCATTTCTTTTGATTGCCAGAAATCTGGTCCTTTCCACCATCTAATTTGTCCTTTTAGTTCCGATACAGCGAGACCTCTTGTTATGTCATCAGCAGGGTTTTCCTTAGTTGGTACGTATCTCCACTGACTTGGGTTTGTTTCAGCATGAATTTCTCCAATTCTATTAACCAAAAAAGGCATCATTAGCCATTTTATTAGCCACAAAATGAATCACATTCATTTTGTGGCTAATAGCATTGCTGTCGGTCCAAAATGTCACTTCTTTAAAATCAATTTTATAAGTTGCTGCAATACTGTGACTTAATCTTAATCCCAAAACTGCACCACATAGTTCTAATCGTGGGATGCTTAATGCGGATAAAGGCGATTTGGCTGCAATAAGGTCAATAGAAACCTCGCCATTTCTATATTGACATTTTGCATAAGTTACAGCTCCATATGCGATTCCGGAAGCTTCTGTAAATGCGTGAAGTGAAAGTATCACTATACATTGATTTTGTTGTTGAATGCATCTTGGTATTTTTATTTTTAGTAAATCTTTTAAATCTTGGAACCATTTAGATGCTAGTTCAGATTGTTTAGGATCCAACAATTCATCCCAACTAATCCCACTGGTCTATATCAGCTGTAACAACACTTTTGCTCTCATTGTGTAGGGTGATAAAAATCCAAGAGGATCAAATAGTGTTGCCATCTTTCTTAAGAAGTTTCTTTTGGTGAATACAAAATTTTCATCAGGTGCTTGATACTTTAATGCAAAAACTTTATCTTTTGATAACCACATAATCCCTAAGGTTTTGATTGACGGCAATTCACTTTTATCCAAATCTACTTTTTGAGATCTGTCTTTAAATTGTGATTTCTTTAAATAATATTTCGGAGTTGGATAACCATTTTCGTGCATGCATTCCAGCTAAATTCCAAACTGTATTTAACTGTTTGTATAACTCAATACCAGTTTTTTCATCAGTAACAGAGTCAATACTACCATCCATGTATGTTGATTTAAGAGTTGTTTCTGCAGCTAAAGGATACTTCTCAATGTGTTTCTTTGCATTTTTTTGTGATACGAACTGTGCTAAAAAAGGCGATAAACTGATACGGAACACTACTCTTTGGAATTCGAAAATGTCTGGGTCCCTGCTTTGATCTAGGTCTCTCCATAAAAACCTTTGAAACTTTCTATCGTTCGGTGAAACAGATATTTGTAGATACATTTATGCTATATCGCAAATCACTGCCACAGGATATCGTTGAAATAGTAGTAACAATCGAAAGAAGTTTTGTTGCAGCTTTGGACCTTAAAGAATTTTATCGTTAAGAGATAATCTGTTATGCTTTGCTGATCCATCAAATACTGGTCGTGTTTTCATAGTCTGATGGTTTATCCGAATAACAGGGAAATAAGGTAAATACCAACTATCACAAGTAACTTCTAATTTTTCTAGCTTTCGAATATATCCTTTTTCCTGATATTGCTTTATAACGTTTGAATAGCTTACACTAATGTCTGTAAGTTTCTTTTCTGTGTGTATTAGACTATTGAGTGCTGTTTTGTAATTATTTGTTAACTTTAACACTCCTTCTCTCCATGGAATGCCAACTTGACATCTCCCTTCAACATAATTGATAGATTTTTGAACAGCTACCATTGCTGCTTTCTCATCAACACTCATGTAATACTCTTGCTTCGGAATCTCTACGATATGCCAAAATTGTCGAAGTATATCATCTGTTGCTGTGTTGTAATGTTCTTCATTTATAAAAAACGTATGAACAAAGCTTGTATAATATTTTTGATTTAATTTAACAGGGCTACCCACGCAAGTCCATCCTAGTGGAATGAGACGAGCAACAGGTTCTCCCAGATGACCTCGCACATCTTTAAATGAGTAGTGAAGGTCAGCATACACTGTAAAAAAACTCTGTTGTATTTACCAGACTTTTTCTGTTGTTCCGTAACGGGAAAAATCAGTTTCCAATAAATTACGGTCTTTTACCATACTTTAAGTCTTTTCAAATATTTTATATGTTTTTGTCCGTATTTATGATAAGGAGAAGTTCCGTAACTTTAAACTACGGACTTTTATCATATACCTTACCGGACTTTTATTGTATATCTTACCGGACAGATTATATATATATATATATATATATATATATATATATACATATATATATATATATATATATATATATATATATATATATATATATACATATATAAATATATATATATATATATTTATATATATATATGTATATATATATATATATATATATATATATATATATATATATATATATATATATATATATATATATATATATATATATATATATATATATATACATATATATATGTATGTATGTATATTCTGTTAGAATAAACAATAGACATAAAATATATTATACTCTTTCAAAATAAACAAATACACAAAATAAGATACACAGAATCAATCTATGTACTTAAAAATATATATAATAAATGTTGTTATGTAAACATCATCATCAAGCATACAGTTGATGATGATGATTAAGATGATGATGATGATGATCATTATCATCATCATCATCATCATCATCATCATCATCATCATCATCATATTAATCATTGTCATCATTATCATCTTCTCTGGTACACACTATAAATATAAATACTACTCTCAAACTCTCTCCAAGATCATTGCTTCTTTTCCTATTTTTTAAAGGCACCATATATCCATCTGATCTACTTTGTTCTTTCCGGATGATGAACATCATAAACTTTAATTACCTATGTCAATTCCATACAGTAAAACACTCTGGATGATTCTTATGTGAACCCATTTTTTACAAACTCTACAAAAAATGTTTGATCAATCTCCTTTTTTCAAAAGTTTAATTTTTAATATAAAATTTTGACTTATAAAAAGGAAAATAAATAAATAATGATTAAGGGTAGCCTTGTAGGTAAGAAATACAAGTATTTGTATTTAATTTCGCCTGATTTCCCAGGTTGCTGGCCAATGGTCAGCAACCTGGATATTATAAAAAAGTCAGTGGCGACCATGTAATAAATTGTTTATTTGAAATTTTTAAACAAAATTAATAATTTGAAGAAGTATATAAAATTGCTAACAATCAGAAGGAGTATATAAAATTGCTAACAATCAGAGAGTTTAAAATATCTTAAAATAAATTTCATAAGTGAAATTGATTGTAAAATTGCATTTACATATAAAATGTAAGTAACTTTTTAATTGTAATTTGAATTATTAGAATTACATAGTTGAACTATTTAAGAAATTAATAAATACTAGTTGAAATAAAAATATAATTGAATTTATTTTTGTTAAAAATATTAACAAAATTTTAAATTATTTAAAACAATTGGGAAAAAAACTAATAATAGTATTAATTTGATAACATTTTAATTGATGGTTTAATTGCATTTAATAACTGTGTCTGACTTTTATTGTCTGATTTTTTAAATGTTTGGCATAACATAAACATTGGCATTTACATAATATGTCTAGAAAAAAGCTTTTAAAATTAGTATTTTAAAACTTTTGTTCAACAGGAAGTCAATTTGTCTAACTTCCTTATTATTGACTGGTAATACAGAGTATTCATTAAAAATAAGGTAATTGTCTGTGAAGATTTCCAATATTATTAGTTTAATACTGTTATTATAACAACATAAAGTAAATGTGTCTAGGCCTAGGACTCACAAAACTGTAAACTTTTTTTTGACTGGTATAAAAAGAGCAAACATATTTTATTGAAGCCATATGCAAAAAAGGTTTGTTAAGTTTATAGCAATTTTTTTTAAACCTACTGTTTTTATTATTATTATTATTTTATAATTTATATATCTAGCAATACCTCTATACTTCTTTTCTTCAATAAATTTAATCTTTATTTATTAAAGTTATTAACAAATCTAATAATAATAGTAATATTAGTTATAAAAAAAAGAAAGTAATTAATAAACTATGAAATCAATAATGTCTTTGTCATATGTCTTAGTAATTTTTTTGTTTTTTTATTAATTAGTTTTTATTTTTAATTAATAAAATCTTGTTTTTGTATTAAGCCATGATAAAACTTATTTGTTATGTATATATAATATATATGTAGTATATATAATATATAATTGCTATATATAGATACATATTATTAATCATAAAATGGCATTGTGTGATAAAGATTCTATGAATAAGGAAATAATGTTTACTCTCCCGAGCTTATCTAGTGAAACATTAGAGCTTATTGTAAACAGATAAATCGATGATGTAGGTGTGCAAAATATTAGTGATTTTGTATTTGTTACTGAAGAAGACTTTGGTACATTTTTAAAGCCTATTCAAATAAGGAAGCTTCTTGCAGCATGGAAAGAAGGTATATATTAAATAAAATAGTATGTTAGATGTATTTTTATGTTTACTTTTTTGTAGTGCAGTATTTTTAAAAAAGCTCTGTTAGTTATTAGCTTATAATTATTCAATTAATTATTTATTTGTATTTATAATTTATTAGATGTAATTCATTTTGATTGTAACTTTTAGAAAGAAATCCTACTATTGCAAGTTTTGCTCAAGTTCATGCTTTGGTTTCGGTTTCAATCCAACCTACAATTACAAATGTTCCTACATCTGAATCTTCCAGTGTTATTATAGACAATTGGGTATTTGTTTTCAAAGTTCCCTGGGAAAAGCTGCCAGCTGAAATCAAGGATTTACTCCACAAAAATAGATTTAATGAAAATGAAAATGAAAAAAGTCAGGACTAGCATATTGGTTGGCTGCAAAATCATCACAATTTGACCTCTTCATCATGGAATGTTTATGAAATAGAAAGGCTACATTCTTTAACTTATCCTTCACAGATTAATGATATATAGAGAGATTAAATGCACTGAAAATAGTATCATTAGTGGCCAAATGGCCATTTTTATTTAAAGCCAATTGGTTTTTACATCACTTTAAAACATTGACTGGTGTTGACATATTCAAGTGCATATTCAAGTGTAATAGTTTCTACTTGGTTGTTGATCGCCATGTTTTTATAGATAATCTTGCAAATCCTCTTTTGGCATTGGTTGTTCTTTTTTCTGCATATTATTTGTTAAATGTCGGCTAAATCACTGCATCCTGATAAACTGCTGTATGCTCTACATGTCCGCTTTGCATACAACTTTTAAATGTTTTTAAAATTACTTTCTATTTTTTCTTTTTTTTTTACTGCAAATAATGACTTATTAATCTTATCTAATTGTTATGTAGATGTATCATAAAAATGAACCCTGAAAAAGGAAACAAAATCAAAAAGAAGATTGGTAAAAAACAGTATGTCGGACCTCACCCTAAAGTTTTAAATTTTGTTAACGAACTGGGGCTGTTTGAATGGACAGAGCAGCAATAGACCAAAAGACGCTTTGTTTTTATTTATTATAACTAATAAAATATATTATATGTAATAACTATTATAATATAATTTGCCATAATATAATATTATTTGTTATTATATATATATATATATATATATATATATATATATATATATATATATATATATATATATATATATATATATATATATTTATATATATATATATATATATATATTTTTATATATATATATATATATATATATATATATATATATATATATATTTATATATATATATATATATATATATATATATATATATATATATATATATATATATTTATATATATATATATATATATATATATATATATATAATATAGTAACTGTTACTATATCTTATTTTTTAAC